CGGAATCGTTCCTGAAGTCGTGTTCGATAAAAACGATTTTGAAAGTTGAAAATCGATCTCGGAAGCGCTTCCAGAATCAATTCCGACTCGCGTTCAGTAGACATGATTTTTAAAATCGATTCCAGCAAGGATTCCAGAATGGACAAATAAAATGGGGCTCCCCGGGATGGAACCTGAGGCCACCAACAACGTACTATATACCTCGACTTCCTCGACTATACCTGAATTCCGAAATATACTTCGACTAAGATTCGAACCTGCAACACTCAGGTCACAATCCACTAACTTATCCTACTGAGGTAGATAGACTACTTTTCGTACTATTTAGTAACTAGTAGTTACTGTTGAGCGGTTCACCTATGGACGAGTACCCGTACTTGTCAGTAGGCTGTTTGCCTACTCACCCGTTGGACCAACGGCGTTGGTAAGTGGTACTTGGTTGCTGGACCTCAGTACTGCGGTCCTCATTCGACCACCTTCAATCCTCTAGAGTTAGTCTAGAGGACCTCTGGACTAACTCTAGAGGATTGGAGGTGGTCGATTCTAGAGTCCAGACCCGATGTATTTTTACATGTCACATCCCTGGATCGAACCTCCGACCTCCCGGTTACTAGCCCAACTCGCCGACCCTCTCGAGTCTGTTTGGAGACAGACGTCATATCCATGAGAGAGAAACACGGTACGGTTTCTTGGCGGAGAAATTCCCCAGCTGGGGATCGTACCATCATTCCCGATAAGAGGGAAAGTGTGTGACCTAGCGAAGTACCCGTGAGGCGAGCGCTAAACAACCTGTTGTGTTGATGAAAGTGAGGGTTTGCTTCCCGCTTGCCCAAGTTTTTCCTCCGCCTTGCCCAAACTTTTCTCCTTTCCGCCCAAATTTTTCTCCTACGCGCCCAAAATTAGCCAGCTTGGTAATGAATGCAGAATGGCAGACTCCAAAGACTGCTATAGGGATGTGGAGCACCCCAGCAGTACGATTTTTTTCTTACCCTTGATACTGGGGACTAGAGATGAGGCACTTGACTGAGTCAAGTTGACTCTGTGACTAATGCTCGGGTAGCTTACTCACATCAGTTCGCTGACTCATCCTCTGGTCAGTATTGCCGAACCCAGACCTCGGCTTTCGGGCGTCAGGTTTGAGGTTTGGTCAATACCTCTCCCATCCCCAGCGTCTACGGGATTTCTTTGCTGAGTATGACCTATTTTCTTGCTGTATCGCCGCTCATAACCAGTTCGGGACTGGCAATTCTCCAAGGAGAGTTGTTTTTTCTGGACTCCAGTGGAGTCACTCCACACGTTTCCTTTCTCGGTGCTCTTCTTTATGAAGCCTCTGTCACGCGCCACGAAATTTTCAGAACCACTCGAAGTGGTTCTGGAATTTGCGATTCTGGAAACGCTCTCAGAATCGCGCAAAAGCTCCTTTGAACGCGCTAAGAACCACTTCTGGAAACGTTCTGAGATCGTTTCCAGAACTGGTTC